TGAGGTATGTACGTAAGAAGATGTTTCCCCAATGTGTGGAAATGATGTACTAGTTTAGGTCTAAATGATTTATTGCCCGTGTAATGGCCAATGTGTCCTTAACTCAGGTTCTGATGGAACCCACGTGTGTTTATTACCATCAGAGTGTGCACACGATATCGACCAAGTGTCCAAAAATAGAAAGAAGTTATTTATGTTTATATATGCCAGTTATTTCAGTTATATGCATATATGCAAGTTTTTAATGTCATGATTATTATGAATGTTATGTTGGATTTTCCACGGAGTACCATGGTTATGTACTCACATCCCATTAAATTATGACATTTAAAGTAATGGAGTTGAGCGTGCAGGCTGAGCTAAGGTGGAAGTGGTCGAGTTTTAAATGGCAAATAAAGGGTATTTTTATGTTCTGTAATAAATAATGACTCATGATGAGTCAAGTTTACGTTTCCGCTATTATTGAGACTTTATATTGTCGAATGATACATGATTCATTAATTCAATACATCAATCTATCGCAATGCGTGATATAGATTGAATATTTTTAGATAATTATTCGACAATAGAGATTTCAATTATGTCTTAAACTGATATTTTATTGTGTGGTTATGAGATATGTGTTTTCAGAAAAAGAAAAGGGAACATTCCGAGATAATTCAAGTATTGTTCAAAATATATTATTAGTGTTTGATAAGCGAAAATGTTACTCTGATTTCTAAACTTTTTGAAAATGGGGTATTACAGATGCTGAAAGAGAAATTTTACTCTTGGATTTATGCACTTCCTTCTAGGCCTATAAACCCTTTGAAGTTCGCCTGATATTGTTCACGAAATTGATACACCAGCTTTTATCACATCTAGCTCCAACCACAGCTACTACAGATGAATCTAAAATTGCAAACAAGTATCAATAACTAAAGTAATTTGTAAGGAGAAAAATAATATAAAAATGACAAACATGCACATATAGAAATAGTACTCAAGGTATGAGTTTACATTTGCTAATTTGTAGCCAATCTTTTCTCTTCTTATTCTCACTCACAATTTTTTGCCTCTTGATAATATGAAACGATGGATTGACCCAACCCCCTCATCGTGATCATCTCTCATGTACATAGTATCATCTATGGAGGGATCACTATTGGGTGGTTAGGATGTATAGAAAAATGGATCAGAACTTAAATCTTTATGGTTCTCGTCAGCATGTTCAACTATTTTATTGGTTAAGAGCACAATAGACTATTTACAATACGAAGGATCAGTCACATAGAATACTTGTTGAGCTTGTGATGCTAAAATAAAGGGTTCATTTTTGTATCCCACCCTATTAAGGTCCACTTGCATAAAGCCTGCTTTATCCACCCGAGCACCATTATTATTGTCCACCCACTTGCAACCAAACATAGGAATTTGGAATTTTGTATAGTCCAACTCCCATATACGTTCAGTTACACCGAAGTATGACATATTCGCATATGTTGGAGTTCTGTCTTTAGCACTTGAGATATGCAAGACTCAACAACCAATGTAACCCCACTATTTTGCATACTACTCTGGCCATCTTGCTCTTTTGTATAATATTTGCACCCATTTATCATCCTTTAAAAGAACATGCATATATGCTTGGGCCATTAGGCAACCACTTCAACCTTTCAGAAATTGATGCAGATTCTACAACTAATGATGTAAAAATGTGATTTTTTAGCCAAGATATGAAGCTTTTATTGTGTTCCCTCGTTACAAAACTCCCATTTCTATTTGGATATGAACTTTTAAGTATATCCTTGTGACGTTGGACATATTGTTGTTCCTCATCATCATTGTGCAAGACATACAAATGTGCATGTTCCCAATCTAACGGTGGTATGGTCACTATTTCATTTCCGATATTTCCTTCACCTGTTGTTCTTCCTGAGTGTCGAGACCTCGGTATCCCAGCTGTTTCGGTGTTGCTAAGATATTCACCACAAAACTCGATTACTTCTTCCATAATGTAACATTCATCAATACAACCCTCTAGTAGGCTTCGGTTTTTTCACATATCCCTTTAGCACTTTCATGAAGCTTCAACCCTATACATCCATCTCGTATATGAAGGTCCACATAACTGAGTCTCTTTAACTAAATGAACCGTTAAGTGTACCATAATGTCAAAAAAAGACGGTGGAAAATACATCTCGAGTTGACATAATGTGACAACAACCTCCTTTTGCAAAAATGACAATTTTTCAGGGTCAATCACCTTACTGCAAATCGCTTAAAGATAAGCACAACTTTGCTATTGTCCATCGTAAATTTTCAGGCAAAACTGATCGAATAGCTATTGGTAACAAGTGTTCCATTAAGACGTGACAATCATGGGACTTCAACCCCTTTAGCTTGAGGTCTTTCATAGATACCAAGTTTTTGATATTTGAAGAGTACCCCTATAGGTAAATATGGATGTCAACTTGAGGTTGCCAATTATCTAAAAATTAAGTTATGTTAAAAATAGGGTACATAAATGACTTGACCATTTTCAAGTTAGAGGGGAGTTAAGGTGTTTTAGGTGTAATGATCAACCAATGAAGGGCACAGAATTTTGAAGGAAAAATAATTCTCTAAAGAAAGGAAACTTGTTATCTTGGAGGTACGCAAAAGACCTCGGATCGACTGGAAACGACATTAACTCGAGCTTCCTCGCCGGTAGATCGCCTGCGAACCTGCAAAAACTCTCACACCATAGGAACTTTCCAGTGAAGAGCCTCCGATGCTTAAATGAGCACTTGTAGAAGATGAAGTGCAGAAAATAGTGTTTGGAACAATAGAGTTGTAGAAGATGCTTAAGTATTTGCATAAATGATAATGGACATACCTCAATCCTGGTGTAGACGAGATCGTGTTGGCATCTATGAAAAATACGATCCAATAGTTTGATAATATATTTTCTAGTTATTTTTATTATTATTCCATATTGTCTTTGTCCTAGTTGGTAGATGTATATTTAATATTAATTAGAATTTATTTGTTTAGCAAGATATGTATTTAGACTGTTTTGAACTCTATTTATTTGCTTCTCTTGCTCTAGGCCAATCGACCATTAAGAAATAAACAAAACGTTTGAGATTTTATCTCTTCTTCTCCCTTCGTAAACTGTGCTACGTACATCAATTAGTATAAGAAGTCAACACGATTCACGATGCTGCGACGAAGACAAAATGTAGTAGACGACAGGCGTGATGCCACCATCTACAACCTAAGCCTTCGGACCGAGGGGTTTGGCCACCGGCTCGAGATGATGGGTCGTCGAATTGCAAATATGTCCGCAAAGATCGGGGACATACGTCTAACTCTCGTACCATGGTTCGAGATGAGATAACGAACCTCGACTTGGACGGTCGAGGCGGTCGCGGGGGTTATCGCGGAGGTCATGGTGGAAGATGGCCTGGCAGGATGCCCCGTCAGCGTACGACACCGCCGATGCACGTCGTGAACGACGGTGAAGAGACGCTGTCAGAGGTCAACCCCTTCGGCTTCCAACAGATGCAACAATACGACGACGGTTTTGCCGTGTGCGATTCTAGCGAGCATCGATGGGAGGCCGTGCTTCGCATCGACATACTTGAGTTCTCCGGCGGCTTAGACGCGCCAGAGTATTCAGATTGGATGGCTACGGTTGAGACCATCCTCGAATATTCTGGGGCTCGTGGGGATGAGCATGGATCTACCGAATATGAGGGTCCGCCTCATTTTGATGACGAAGGGACGACCGAGTATGAGGGTCCGCGGGTTTTTTACGAAGACAATCCTATGGCGTTGGTAGCTCCGACGGGTGTCATTGTTGCAACGTCCCATTTATTAATAAAAGCATGTTCAATTGGATACCTTGAATTTTTAAAAACTTTTAAAAAGTCATTAAAAATTCCAATGAAATATCTCTATACTTTGTAAATACACCATAATTTCACATTTCACAAATCCTAAAAAGTTTTAAAAAGTTCTTAAAAATTTCTTAAAATCATAAACTAATACAACCCCTAATATACCCCAATCACAATTATACATAGCCTACACATATGAGAGAATGTTCTCGGAATCTCAAGTGAAAAATGTGCTTGGCTTGAAAGGGGAAATGGGAATAAAAAATAAAAACTGGATAATGCCAACAGATTTCAAGATAAGGAAAAAAAATATTAAACTTGACAAAAAAATCGTCGACAGCAGGGTTCGAACCTGCGCGGGCGAAGCCCAACAGATTTCAAGTCTGTCTCCTTAACCACTCGGACATATCGACAACTGATAATGCCCGTCATAGAAGTAAAAAATATTTCTTCTTCGTCTGTGCCTAGAACTAGAACACTGCAAATAACGCATAATAGAACAGATAGTCCTCTACTCGCGTCCGGCGCTCAACTCCACGGTCGATCTTCCATCGGCAGCCGGCACGTCTAAGTAGGTGGGACGGCTTAAGCTCCAAATAGGTGAGTTCCTACTTCCTAATTGTCCAACCCCAATTGCTTGATTGACTAAATTCCTTGCGGCATAACTATCGTATACAGATTTAACTTGAGAAGCTTAATTAGAGAGGCTCAATCATTGTTTCAAACACAAAATTTATGCCTTCGTTCTGGGGATTGATTTTTTTTTTTTTTTAAATATCTCTTGGGATGGTTAATTGCTTTGTTGAAATTGTGAAATATTTTATTGACGTTTTTATTAGGTTTTCTGTAATTTGTATGAATTGAGAGGTTTTGGATTGAATACTTTTATTTACATTTGCAGGATAATTGAATTTGAAAAGAATTGTACATCATATATTGGACTTTGATGATAATATACAGATTTTTCGGATATTGATATTGTACATTGTTCTGTGAAACACAGAAACTATATATGGATCACAATTTTGGGCCATTTTTTTTCTGAATGTTGCATCAATCTATAGGGCTGGTTGTGTCAAAGTCACGCCAATAGAACGCGAAATCCTGGAAGTGTAAAAAAAGGGGGGAGAAGGAACAATGTTGTATGTAATAGGATTAGGCTTAGGTGATGAGAAAGACATTACACTGAGAGGGCTCGAAGCCATCAAGAAATGCTGCAAAGTGTACATGGAAGCTTACACTTCTCTTCTCTCCTTTGGCCTCACTCCCGATGGCCTTTCCACACTAGTAAGTCCCATAATTATTTTTTTTTTATTTTTTTTTATTATTTTTTTATTTTTTATCTTAGATTGTGAAATATGTGATGGAGTGTTATTTTACTGAGCGCTTATGCAATAAAGTTTGCATCTTGGTTGATTAAAATTCCCAGGAGAAGATTTATGGGAAGCCAATTATTGTTGCCGATAGAGAAATGGTGGAGGAGAAAGCAGACACTATGCTGTTAGAAGCTCAGGTTTCTGACGTGGCATTTTTGGTCGTTGGAGACCCTTTTGGGTAAAACATTTTTCTTCTGGACTTTTTTTTATCATCTCCAAACTGTTGATTTCATAATATAATGGCCTTTACCTGATTTGAAAAAGTGTTATGTGAACTTTTGTTTTAATTTTGACATGAGTAATGCATTACTATTATTATGTGTAGAACAAGTACTCCATTTTTTTTTTTGGGTTGTGTAGAACAAGTACTCCATTTTGAATGATGTTATATGTGGAATTTAATTGGTTTGTCTTTGTTTAAATTTAATGTTATTGCAATGGATTAAGAGCAACTACGCATTCTGATCTTGTTGTCCGGGCAAAGAAATTGGGTGTGGAAGTTAAAGTGGTGCACAACGCATCGGTAATGAATGCAATAGGGGTCTGTGGCTTGCAGTTGTATCGTTATGGAGAAACAGTGTCAATACCTTTCTTCACCGACACCTGGAGGCCTGATAGTTTTTACGAGAAGATCCAGAGAAACAAAACGCTTGGACTACACACGCTCTGCCTGTTAGGTGAAGTTGAGATTGTGCAGTCATGGATTATTTATTTATTTTTTGAAATTTACGGTAACTGGGAATAACTATTTAAGGTTTCAATTATAATTCAAGATTGTAAAAACCCCATTTGTGTTTTTATTTGTTTAACCCATATAGCCCACTTGAATACAAATACAATCAACCAGTTAAGGAGGTATCTGCAGTTTGAAAGAGAGCTGCAATTTTGTTAGATCGAACCTCAAGGGTAATTATTGTTACGAGTTCTTGGATTTATGTCAAAGAAGATTTGTAGGGTTTAGTTCCTGCTTTTAGGAGATATGGCTAAATGCTCGATGAACACGAGTTTTTGATTCTTTGTGTTTCTTAATTCTAATCCTATTGCGTGTTTTGGCATTTTGCAGATATACGAGTGAAGGAACCTTCATTAGAGTCCTTGTGCAGGTTAGCAAGTGCAACCATGATATAGTTATTCCTTTGTTTTATTTCTCCATTCTGGTGGTGTGGTTGTTTGGATATATACTACTTGGGCAAGTATTCACGAGCTTTCTTGCATGACATTGTAGAGGGAAAAAAGTGTATGAGCCAGCGAGGTTTATGACCATAAACGATGCAATTGAGCAGCTCTTGGAGGTGGCCCAAAAGCAAAGTGAGTCAGGTAAAGACAATTATTTTGTTATTTCCTGCTAGTAACTTTTGCTTAATTCTTTGTTTACAAAAATTTCTTTCTAACATAATCTTATGTTTCTTGATCTTCTTTAGAGCAATAAATTATACCAGTTTTGTGAAAAAATGAACTGTGTTGATCCAACTCATTGTCTATATCTGTGATTGTACTGATATTCAAGCCGAATCATTGTTTCCTTTTCAAAATGGCAGTATACAATGAAGACACGATCTGCGTGGGCATGGCCAGAATAGGTAGTGAAGATCAGGTGATAGTTTCCGGGTCCATGAAGCAACTCTTGACGATAGACTTTGGGCCTCCTTTACATTGTCTTGTCATAGCAGGTGACACTCACCCTGTGGAAGATGAAATGCTTGAATTCTATAAAATCAACTGAAGCTCGAAAAATGTCTGAAACCGGTGTTTTGCTTGGAGGATAATGCTACATTACAATTTTGTTGACATGTCATTTTACTCTTGTGCTAAAAGTACACAACGGTTCATTAGACTGCGAATGGGTGAGTCTTAGTTTAAGCAGCTTGGATTGTGCATGAATGAATGATGGGGTTTTTCCTTAGAAGATTGATAAATTTGTGATGTATGTTCATCGTCGTTTTCATGAATTGAACTTGTTGATAGCGTAATGACCGATTTTTCAATTATTTTTACCAATGTTATCAAAACCGGACCGGACCGGCCGGTTCGACCGGTTGGACCGGGAACCGGACCTAGTACCGGTCCGGTTTGCATGTTTAGGCCGGTGGGAGCAAGAACCGGTATCGAACCGGTCGAACCGGTTCAAAACCGGTAAAACCAGTGAACCGGTACCAGTTAGAGCGGTCGAACCGGTTCTGAAAATTAAAAAAAAAAAAGAAAAAACTTACTGAAATAAAAAAAATTAAAAAATATTGATTATGGTAAATTATACTTAAAATATTATTTTAGTGAACTTTATTTAGTATTGTTTATGGTAAATTATACTTAAAAAATTAATTTTTCAACTCTTATTTAGAAAAATGTCATTATATGCTATAAAATTAATGATAAATATATATATAATTATATATTTTACATATAAAATAAATAAATAAATTATATATTAGTTAAACCGGTTGGACCGGTTTGACCACTGGTCCGACCATTGAACCAGTAGCTTCACCGATTCGATGACCGGTCTGGTTTTGAGAACATTGATTTTTACTCTACCTCGTTAATAAATTTAATTTCAGGAAAGCGATAAACTCATTATCGCATATAGTTTACTAAAATGGATTGTTATTTATATTATAAATACCCGAATACGTAATCTACACAACATATTTTCTAGCATGGGTTATTATTAATATTTGAAGACCCAAAAATTGATAGCAGGATATATCCAGCTCTAAGGTTGTAAATGAGATGAGTTGAGTATTGGATCTCATCTAGTAAGGTCTGATTTTATTTTATTTTTTTTTTAATTTTTCTTTTTAAATTGTTGCTCAAACTTGACCAGCGGAACACTTTTAACTTTTTAACTACGCAAGCGCTCGAGATCAACTCGAACTTTAATCTGCTAGAATATTCAACTAAAAAGTGGTTTAATAAGGACATTTAGGTAAATTAATTTATAATGAGTCGCTGAACGAATATTCAACCTTATAAACTTCAGTCTCAAGCTCTTGGAATTCAAACGCTCAGGAAACTATTAAGTTACGTTTGGATTGATAGATCAAGGGCGGGATGTTAACTCGATTCACCTTGTCGATATAGCGTTACAGAGCGAAATGAAATATTTAAAAGTTACAAGTTTAAATCCCAATACATTTTTGGATGATAATAGAAGTTGAAAATATTCAAATTCACCCCAGATAGACTTGAGTCATTATCTTGAAAGATTTTAAACTCCTCATATCTAGCAATTTGAATTCCACTATTTATCCCATGTTGACGACCACATCGTTCGCAATTATGATTTTCCATTTAGATTTATCACCACTACGAGCTAACACATCGATGCGAGCTAGACAATAGATTTATAACCTTTCCCCAAATTCATAGCAAATTTAAATTTCAAAGTATTCAAAATCAAGGGATTTCAAATCCCACAATCCGCACGTGGCCTCAATTCATTTGCAGCTCTAGACATGGCCACGAGTCGCCCGACCCTGAACCGAGCCCGGTCAGACCCGTTGACAACAGGTTCGGTCCGGGCCCAGCCTGGATCAAGGTCGGCCATTTTGAACATATGATTTAGTGGGCCATGCTGCGTCGGGCGGACCCGAGAAAAATCGACGGGTTCTTATTTTTTTTTAAATGACTAGTCCTGGATTCGGTCAGACCTGAACCGGCCGGCTCAGCTTCCATAATCTAGATTCGACTATTCCATCTTAATCTTAAGTGTTTGATTGGAATCACGCGCAGGTGGGCTTCTCTAGGAGACTGTGACCTCTCGCAAGTGTCGCTGCGGTTGGATCTCACATACCTAAAGGGGACGCTTGTTTACCAATTAATTGGTAAAAACTGAGATAATTGAATATTTTTTATTATTTCGGCGATTGTGTACAAAATATTTCAAGCCATCCTTCTGAAACACGGTCCCACTTCAAAGCTATTCTTGTCCCCCATTAATTGTTTTCACTTGTAATATTAAATTGATATAAATTGATATTGATATGTATCTCTGACAAAAAGCAACCTACTACCATCTCCTCCTTCAATTAAACGACGACCCCTTCCTCAATAAATCTCCTTCATCTCCGTCTGAAAAAATCATGAGCTCCGGTGCAAATCCTTCTGTGCCCACTTCGCTTCCATCTTTTCGATTGCCGGAAACTTTGCTGGAGAGACGGGATCCGCAAAGCGAAAGCACCGGCAGCGTGTCGGTGAACTCGCCCGAGAAAAGAAAAAAACGGAGAAGAAAGGTTTGTTCGATTTAAATGTGTTATTCCTGCACCGTTTTTTCCGATTATATGATTCGGTGAATTTTTCCTTCAATTCGTCGAAAAAAATATTTTGTATATGCGATTTTGTTTATTTTGGGAGCCGATAATTATAAATTAGGGATTACATATTGTAAAATTTGGGAACCGGTATTTTGTGTTTCGCATGCCATTCCTTATGATATGTTATAATATTTTAAGTGGATCTGGTTATTTTTTCTATTCTCTTTTGGGTTGAACTGTGCCTGGTTGTGTTGTGTTCATGAAGTTGAGTTTTGACCGGCAGCGAATGCGATTACTGTCCGGTTGTAAGTGGATCTCTTATGATATGCCTCATTTCAGTTCTTGTGGTTGTGTTTTGCTGAATTTTTTTTATATGCTGACCTATTTTTTCGATTTATATTTGGGTTGTTGTCATGTTACACTGTATGTTTCCATGTGAACAATACAATCTTGGAGCTGTTTTTTGTGAAAAATTGTAGATGACCACATCCAATGACGCTGGCCCTTCGCAACACAAACAAGGAGAAGCAAAGTGGCCTCCAGAGAATGAGGCTCACTTCATATCGTTGATGTTAGACCAGGTTATCCTGGGAAAGTGCATCGGGCAGAAGTTCAAACAAGCCAATTGGATGGAGATCCAAAAAAAACTGAATGATATTTGTGGTCCTGACTATTATTACGAGATAACACAAATGACGAGTAAGCATGATCGATTGAAGCAGCAGTGGCGTCGGTTTTTCAAACTGCTTAACAAAGATACGGGATTCGGTTGGGATATTAACAGTGGAAAGATTACAGGCGGTGACGAAGTTTGGGCTCGGTGGATCACGGTTAGTGCACTATTTTTGTTTTTTCCCATCTTTTATGGTCTTAGTATGTGTACATTATGATGGGTTGAACTTTGAAAATGGTTGCTCATACACAGAAATTGTTCTTAGTACGTACTCCTTGTTTGTTTAATTACAATGAAAATCCTTTTGGTTTTAAATATGTTATGAAGCTTTTACATGACTGCAACTTGGTTGACTTCTGGAATTACTGTAGGTGTTGTTGTAGTATATTTGGTTTGAATTTCCCTTTAATAAACATTCGCTTATTATGTGTCCACTCTTTTCGAACAATAAGGTCATCCACAGGACAATGACATGAAGAAAAGGGTGTGCGTGCACTACCGTGAGCTGACCACAATTTTCAATGGAACAACTGCAACTGGGCGTGGTGCAAGGGCATCTACACAAACACCCGATGGAAATGGCAGGCGCCGAATAACAAACTTGGCGACCTGTTCGAATTATTTGTTTCCTAATGAGTCGAATGATGAGGAAATGAATACCCCGAACAGTGATCGGACCATTCGTCGCCGTAGAGGGACGAATTCCACCTTTGACACAGCCATGAATTCTATTACTGAAGCAAGTCGCATAATCCAGCATAATGCGCGCCCGAATCCTGAAAAGGATCAAGAGAGCCTTCAACAAGCTTTGAAAGAACTGGAGTCCTTGCCTAATGTCCCCATGGAGGTTCGAAAGTTGGCTTGGAAGAGGTTTCGTGACCCTTGGAGCCTGTACACGTTCCTTGGACGGGAACTCAAAGAAAACCGGCTTGCACTTCTACAAATGTGGATGGATGATGATGGCAAATAGGGCGGATGTTGATTGGCCTGCATTTTCAAACTATTTCACTTGAACACTGCTTGCCTGCTACTTTGAAATTATGAGAACTTATGTGTTATTAATTTGGTTTTTTTTTTTTTTCTATGCATTTGTGTGACTTGAACTGTTTTCCTTCATCATATTATTTGACTTATGTGTTATTTGAATTTGGTTTTTTTTATGTTGTCTTGCTTAAAAGTAATTGTTCATTTTCATTTACAAGTCATTGTTGTTTTCAAAAACTGGCCCCACAAAATCTCCATTTGTAGGATGTCGCACATGGATGAGAACCAGGATTACGACAATGTCGAACATGTGGACGATGAACAATTGAACGACAACGTGGTCGAAGATGTTAACGATGTTGCTGAGCCGTCTCATTTATCCCGTTTACAACAATTTACTAATATGCTTGAGTTTCAACGACAACAAATTATGCATGCGTACACAGTGTTACAATCTAATACGCCTATGAGAAGGGTCCCGTATCGCCAAACGACGTACACCAGAGCGGACTGGATTAACGAACTCCTATCGGGGCACGATCGAAGATTCTACGATGCAATGGGTATGAACAAGAAAGTATTCAAATTTCTTTGCCAAGAAATAAAACAGACGGGTTGCCATGGCGATGAAAGACAACAAAAGGTCCGCATTCAAGAAAGTGTTGCGGTGTTCTTGCATACGATAAAAGGTCACCAAAGGCATCGACGTGCTGCCGAGTCATTTAATCGATCCACCAAGACGATTAGTAACTATGTACATATCATGGTCACTGCCCTATGCAAATTGGCTCCCAAGTACATACGTCCACCAGATTTTAATCGTGTTCCTGATTGGATACGAAAGAATAGATATTTATATCCATACTTTAAGGTGAAACACATAAAAAATTTTTGTATTTTTTATGTTAAAACCTTTTTCATTTACAACTAAAATGTTTTATTGTTAACTCAGGATTGCATCGGCGCCATCGACGGAACCATCATACCAGCTTGGATACCTGAACAAGATCATGGAAAATACAGATGTCGCAAAGGTTACTTGTCCCAGAACATTATGGTCGCGTGCGACTTTGAATGCAAGTTTATTTCGTTTTAGCGGGATGGGAAGGCAGCGCGAATGATGCCCGTATTTTTGCTGAAACGTTGACTGACCCTACAAATACTTTCCCCTGGCCACCAGAGGGTATGTCCTGTTTTCTTCCGTTTCTTCGAACAGCTCGCATGACATTTTTTTTTCATAAACTCATAAGTTAAGGTTATACTAACACAACTTCTTTTGAATGATAGGAAAATATTATGTGGTGGACTCCGGCTATGCCAATATCCCGGGATTCTTGTCACCTTATCGTGGCGATAGGTATCATCTCCCGGAGTGGATTCGGTCAAACCAAACCCCTCAAAATGCGAGAGAGCTATTTAACCGACGCCATGCAACGGTCCGGAATGTGGTCGAGCGTAGCTTTGGTATACTAAAAGGTAAGTTCCCTATTATAAAAGGCCTAATGCCCAACTACCCGCCTGAGTTCCAGACAGACATAGTAATTGCCTGTTGTGTTGCACATAATTTCATCCTTGAACACCAAAAGTTTGCTAACGTACCGCTTGCCATGCAAGACCCGGACTACATACCAGAACCAGATGAATACGACTTTACAAGGACTTTGAGGACAACGTTAGATACCTCTAATGTTGGTTTACGTGAACAGACTGGTTTGCGCGATACGATTGCCGATGCGTTGTGGCGTGATCACGCAGGCAGACATCATTAGTTGGTGTATTACTCATTTAAAAATATGTTTTATGTATTAATGTTGTATTTGTACGACTACTGTGGTTGATAATGTTGTTTCCTAATTAGTATTTGGCTGCTTTGCATGAATATTATTGTTTTGTCCAAATCAAAAATCATTACACAAAATAGATGAGAATAGACGACACACATCCCGTGATGAGAACATACGACACAAAATAGAATGACGAGAAGCCACGACACACATCCCGTGACAATTAACACAATTTATTTTAATAGTTCGAAATATAACGCAACAGTTGACACAAAATTATACGCGACGGCAATCAATGTCCTCTCCTTTTTCTTCGTGCTGCCATACGACGTTCTTCCGCCCAGTACTCGTTAACAACTTGGTTCAATTTGCGAGTGTTACGTTTATGTATTGATTCTATTTCACCAGGATATGAGTCAAGTTGTAGGGGTTCGAAAACTATTTTTAACGTTTCCCAGAGAGGCTCCGGATTGTTGCTGCAATAATGTTCGGCTAATGGCCAAATCTGAGAGAATATGATATACTAGATTTACACTGACTAATAATAAAAGATTTTGGACAAAATAAAACTAGGCAAAATATAAAATGGTCTTCGCATGTATGTCGAAAACACCCAATGGATGTTTCATAAAATATAAAAATGTTCGATACCTTTCTTTCAATACCATGAATGTGGTATAGCATTCTTTCAAAGTCAAATCTTGAGATATTTCACTCAAACAACTTCGGTAAATTCTATCAAATGCCATATATACGTCAAACTCCATGTTTAACCCTTCTGATTGGATGTAATGCAAAAGGATAGAACAAAATGATTCCTCAGCAGGTTGTAGCCATTTGTTTGAGAAGCCTTCTCGTATATAACGGAAATGCTCTTCCTTTGTCTCTGGCAATGATAACCCCCACATGTTTAAAAATAAGCAATGATTGTTATGGATGTTTTGCTGTGGTGATATTTTGACAAATAAAGGGAAACACATACACGTATATATATACGCAAATATTATGTGATAATAGATTTGGAAAAAATATAATGCATACCAGTCATGTATACAGACAAAGAAGTATGGATTCAACCGTTGCAGACCCCAATATCATCTGCATTTATGTACAAAAAGATGATGGGCGGATGATAGGAGCCTGCAAATAATGTGACTTGTTTTAATATTAAATTCAACATACCCATGTCTCTACAAATAATGTGACTTGTTTTTTATTATTATTTCTTTTCGTCACTTGTTTTTGTTTTTATTTCTTTTCGTCACATAGTGGTAGATTCTATTATTGGTATTTTCAATATGTATACACCAAATAGCAAATCAAACGCATGAGATATGATTTTATATGCCAAAAAGCAAATCTAATAAAATATTATTTAATATGTATACACCAAATATCAATATCAAACGCATGAGATAGGATTTTATATGCAAAAAAGAAAATCTAATAAAAATATTATTTATAATCAGCAACTATGAATTTATGTCTTTGTAAAATTTATGGTCATGTTACATGTATTAATTGCATCTAATATCATTTCTTATTTATAATAACTTTTGTATTTTTTATCAGTTTTACATATGTAATATATCAAATTAATATTCTTTTGATGAGCTTCGATTTAACATCCATATTGTATGTATAACAAAATTAATTTATATTTATTTTTATAACAATAATAAATTTATTTTTATTATTAATTAGAAAAATCAAATTATTTATCAAGTAATATTTATATTTCAAGTAGTTATATGATATAGTTATACAAACTAATATAATATAACACATGTAAATCATAAGTAACACATATCATTCTAAAATATATATAGTAATATATTTTTTTGTAAAAAAGTAAACCAAATTCAATATAGTATTATCATTAATTTTAAAATTTAAGAATAATTTTTTAACAAGCACCCGTGTAATACACGGTTGTTGTACTAGCATGTTAGAGTGTTTATTATATGTTCGCTTCTCGTCCCACTAATCACATTGATTATATAAAATTAATTCTTAATATTGGCTTTTTCATTAATACATATTACAAATTAATTTGTTGGTTCAACCTGGAATAAAAAAATTGTGTGTAGTAAAAAGACATACTTGGTAGATAAAATTTTTTATAAGTGCTACAATAATTAAAAATTGTCATACAAATTAGAAATACATTACATCATTATAAATTTAATAAGTGCTACAATAATTAAAAACCCAATGAGCACGAAATAACTATAAACACAACATGGGCATGCAGCTTCAACGAGTGACGGTGGGTCATTCACACTTTCCGTCGGCACATGTGAAGTGCTTGAGTAGTTGGACCCACTTGTGGTATGACAGCTAGTTTGTGAATTGGACTGCGGATTACAATATGTTTGAGCAGTTTCCCTCGCAGAAAAAGAGCAATTATTCTCGTCATCCCACTTAAAGCTCCCTGAGTGTTTTATTCCTTCTGGGCATCGGAAAAAATACCTACCATAATTTTTATCTGTTTTAGCCATAAAACGATACATCCGACCACGTCCGCATGAACAGAAGGGTGGGTGAGAGACCATTTTATGAATTTATGTTCATTTTGCATTTCTCGAACACCCCTTTTTATAGAACCGAGTGTTGGTGTTATATACTTAAGCTTTGCTTTAGTGGATATTACACTTGTTAT